TACCATTTTTTTCTCTCTGTATTTTCTGGCGGCGGCATACAATGAAATATTGGCCAATTATACGAAAAGCCTTTTGCTCGCATATAGAAATGATTTCTTATGAAAAGTGAATGCGATGTTCGGCAACGTTCGAATTAATGTTTGTTTTTATATATATATATAATATATATATATATAATATATATATATATATACATACTAAATTAATTCATATATAAGTATGCTATTTAAAAATTAAAAATTGGGCTACTTCCTATGACAATAAATATGACTGGCATTTTTTTTCGTTTCTTTAAAAATTTTTTTGGAGAGTTAGAAAATTGTATTTAATTTCTTAATTTGAGCAACTGTAAATTAAAAAAATTTAGTTTTTAATTTAATTTTAATGTTTAATATAAAATAAATAAAATATTTATTTATACTAAATAATTTTGTTGAGAAGTCAAGATAATCAAAATCAAAAACTAAAAAAAATTGGCAATAAAATGTAATTAAATATATTATACAAAATAAATTAAATGTATATTTATACTACAACATTAATTTGTTATGTGAATACAGAAATCAAACTTCCTATAAACTTTATAATGAGACGCATATTAAATATGAAAAAAATAAAACAAAAAAAGCAGAAAAAACGGAGAAAACTAAATTAATTAATTCGAAGAATGGTTGAACTTAGAAAATAAAAACAAATTCATCTAAGGCTCTTAAAAGTATAAAGACTTATATTCATATTCTTTTCCAATATGGCTATCTGTTTTTATCTTGTATCTCTTGTCAATTTGAGCGAACTTTGACCCAGGCCAAGCCAAACCATGCAGCAATCAAGCAGCTGTTTCTATTAATACTTTACTCCAATGCCAATGAAAGTGAAAATCCTGGCTAACCGGCTGGGGAAACTGAAATTGTCAGCGTTGCGGGAAAAATTTGCAATTGAGCAACGGACAACTTACGATGCGACAATAAAAAAAGTCAAAATAGCTGCAATAACTTCCGAAGCGACAGATAAATATAACATTAAATTGTAGACATCGCGAACAAACGACGAGCAACAACAAAAACAACAGCAGCAGCAACAAATCGCTGGAGTTTGGCTTTGTGCAGCGAGCGATGACAGCGGCAGCAACTTTTTTTCTCTTTTTTTTTTATAAATAAGTAGTTGCATAATGTGTATGGATAGGCCGAGGTGTTGCGGTAATACCATAAAGACACTTGCAGGCGGTGCAGAAACGTGTATCTGTATCTAGTAAATGTTAATATGTATCTACAGTAGCAGCAACAGCTGCCAAAGAGCTACAGCCAACAGACAATTTGATTGGCCTTGGACAATGCGATTTGCATTTTGGCCTCAACTGGCTTATGGCTTGGCCTGTGACGTCACTTGGCGGAAGATTTTTGCAGCGGTTGCCGCTGCCAAAGAAAGTTGCAGACTTAGTCACGTTTTTTTGTCTTTCTGTCCGATGCGCATTATGGTTTTTTTGGCTCATTAATTGGAAGAGAAACAAAAACCGAAAACAAAGCGATACAGCTTGAACTTGAGCTTAGGGTTTCACTTTTACAATACTTAAACATACCAGAGCTGAGAGATAGATAAATGTTACTAAGAAATAAAAAATAAAAACTTGATCTGCTTTTATTCACAACGAAAATGTAGTTCAATTAAGGTGTTGAAATGACGGTCTTAAGCCGCCGCACTGTGCTTTTATTTATGGAGTTGTCTGAACTCAATTTGCTGGCCACTTCACACTTCACACTCCATACAAATTCAAGTTCGTTGCCTAAGTCTTTTGTTTTTAGGCAGCACATAAAACGACACTCACGCGGGTCCATAAAATATTACAAAATATGTATGTCAAAAATGTTGGTCCATTTTCGTATACCCACCTAGGCACAACAAATATGCACTCAAATGCATTTTGCTTATCGAAAACAAATTTCGCGTAACTTTTAATTCATTTGCAATATCAAGATAGAAATTATTAGGCATATATTTAATATTCAATTTGGTTTGGAATCTTTCGTTCACTTTTTGTTTATTGTTATTTAACACGACTCAACGAAACCGCCAACGTTGACGCACTTAACGAAACGGCAGCCGAGCGAGCGTTGATGAAAATGAAAGTGTTAAGCGCCGTGTTAAAAAAAATATATATTTATTTTTTTATTAAGAAATTTAAACGCTTCTATTATTATTTCTTTATGCTTATAAGCTGTTAATTGTCTCGTGTTAATGCTCAAATTTTTATTTATTTATAAGTATGTTTATTTAACTTGCGAATTGCGCAAAAATTACATGAATATTCCTCCGACAAAAAATTTCACTTAAAAACCACACACAAATTTGTTGCTGTTGATTTTTCACTTAAATCCACTGGATTTTTTTCGGTTTTTGTTTAATAAGTAGTATTGCTGTTGCGCCTGCGCCGCGGCTGCTTCCGTGTGCCGTTGCTGCCCGAGTTCGACTGAAATTGAAACTGAAACTGTAAAACACAAAACGATACAACAGCCGCGACAACAGCAACAACAACAATAACAACAACTAATACTGCGGCAGGCAACACAATAAAAGCGCTTCACGTCGCACTCGGAGACAGCTTTAGGCTTTGAGTTGCTGGCGGTTTAGCGGGGTGGGCGGGGCAGTGGTGCCTCTCTTTTCGTTTTGCTTTGTGCGAAGAGTGTGCGCACTTAAGACTACAAAGGTAATGCAGAGACGTACAGGGTTTTTACTTTCTTTCAGCTTTGGCGCTTATTGTATTGATGGATCGCTTCGTCGAGCATGCTGTGCTTTAAATTCTGTAATTAACTGTAGAGGTTTAACAAAAAAAAAAAACGAGCAAAAGTGCCTTAGGCGGCAGTACCCGATTAGGGGATACCCTGTGCTCTTTTCCTTGGGCAAACACTATATAGGAAATGTTATCTGAAATATCTTCGGTGCTTATAGTCCGATCTTTATGAAGCTCAGGCCACAAATGGGACATACATGAAGAATGCCTCTTTTAGAAGTTTGGGAGGAATGGAAAGGAGACATCCATTCTTAATATGTTTGTACAGAAAGAAATCCTGCATACAAAGTTTCTACGGCGCAGATCTAAAGGTTTTGGTGTTATGCCTAAAAGGCAAAGTCGCCGAATCAATTTTTTTTCGAGATATTAAGAAAATTGAACGAAATATCAACAAAAACTATTTAACTTCTGCGTATATAATGCGAGATTATATATAAAAAGTTGTAAGCTGCGATTATACAGACGGATATGATCATACTCAGCTCGTCCCGTTCAGGAATATGTCCTTCCTTCTGCCTGTTATATAAATTAGCACAAAGCCAACGTAACCTTTATATCGATTCATCATGGATTAAGGGTATTCAAACTAAATAAAGAAAAGGAAAAAAAAAATACAGCTCACACTAAACCTCATTCTGTGCAACTGGCTTTGGCCCCTGTAAACGCACCCACCTCAAGCATTGGCGCAATTTAGCTCGACGCTCAGGTAATCCCCAGTATATTTAGTCAAAATTTTGCGCAACCTTCGCTGGTTTTTATTTTGTTTTATTTTCTGTTTATTTTTTGTTGCTGGAAATTACTGTATTGCAATACCCTACCGAGAGTACGCTTCGAATGTTGTTTTAGATGATTCATGCACTTTGACGTGGTTTCCCCCGCAACAGTTTTTGGCCTACTTAAAATTCGAATTGATTATGAAGCAAAATTTTTGAGCAAAACAACTTAACGAAAGGTCGCAACACTACAAAACTATTATTCAATATAGTTCAATGGAGCTGCGAACGTGTTGAGATGTGGAAAAAACAAATGTGTTCAGTTTGTGTTTTCAACAGAAATCCTTGAGGTTATTGTGATTAAAAGCTATCATAAAGCAAGGTGAGATAAGCTCTTCAGCATTGCAGGTATTGACCTATATCACTCTAGGCAAACTTGCTGCCTACAAGAAGAATGTTAAACATACGTTTTTTTCTATACAGTGTAAAAGATCTGATCGCTAAAACAAGCCGCAATTAAGATGTTTTAAGCACTTCTTTATCGAAAACTAGATCAATGTAAACAAAAGACTTTGGCCAAAAGCCTTTGAAAAGCATTCACTTTTTATTGCACACTTAAAAAAATATACTTTTGTATGAATATATTCCTCAGCGTCTGGCTCTCATTTTTGCTAGCGCATCTGTGTCAGTTCATCTCTCACAAACGACCGTGAAAAGCAAAAGTATGCAGCGTGTGACCAACACAATTAATTGGGTATTCATGCGAATCTGTTTGACAGCTGCAAAAGTTAGAAAACTTGTTGTTGTAGTATTTTGCCAGCTATTGTTCGCCAGCTGTTGACACCTTTAAAGGGAAAATCAACCACAGCAAAAAAAATATAATAGAATATAAAAAAAAAGTGTTAATAAAAGCATAGGCTGGTTTAATGGCTGAGAAAATGTGCGAATGTAGGAAATTTTAATAACTAAACTTGAAGTACAAAAGTATGTGTGGAAATAAGGGAGGGCATATGTATTCATTCGTGTATTCATTTATTTTGAATTGCGCTCCCTCATGTGAGCTTTCAGCTTTAAGCACTGCGCAGGCGCTTTCACGACTTAAAACAGCTGCGAAAGCTCACGGTGATATAAGCTTTACAAAAGCTGTTTATATGAAATGGTGCCGATACTTTTGAAATTTATTTTAAGCTGAAATATCTGAAATATTATTAAAATAATATTTTTATAACATTTTGGTATCGTTATAAAATTCAATGCTAGGATTGTAAAAATATATAATTTATATTGTCTGGGAAGAAGCAAAAATGTTTACTGTGTGAATAAAGTTTAAAAGCTTAGCCGAATCTTGATTGCTTGTTTTCGGTATTTAATTTCCGGATATACTGAATACATAAACCATGAAGCTTTAAATAAAATGGCTTTAGAATATTATTTTTTAATTACTATAATATATTTATTAATGTACTTCATTTATTTACAATTAAAAGCATTTTAAAGACATTAAATTAGCATTAAGAATTAAGGTACAACTACAACGGCATTGAAATATTTAACCTTACGCATTTAGGAATTGAATTCACATACTTTATCATTTTTGTATATGTATTATATGTATACTTTACGCATAAGTTATATTTATAAGTATAGATAGAGAGTATAAGCAGCAAAATTCTACAATTTATGTTTTGCTCTTTCAGTTAAAAATTCGTTGACTCAAAGCTTGTGCTTATGATTACATTTTTAAATATTTATTCCTTGTGAAAAATTAACATAAAATTCACTTGTACGACTTTTAGATAGAGAGAGAGAGAGAGACAGAGAGGGAGGAAGAGGCAGATAGATTATGTGAGGGCTATCGGGAATGTGCCATATTTACAACAGAGACAGCGCACATATTACAGATACTCGTAAAACACAATCCAATAGATGCAATTGAGGCTGGCAAAGAGCGCGGGAAAGAGCACACGCGATGAGCGATCGATATAGATGGCGCGCTTGAGACGCTCCTGGGCGGGCGTTAGCTTCGGCTTGGGCATTTCCGGTTCCGGTGCCGGTGGCGGCGGTGGCGGTGGCCGTATTGTTGGGGTCAGCATAATATGCGACTCGTGACGCGGTATCCAGGGACCGTCGGCGTCTAGCGGGGGCCGCACCACGCGGCGTGTGGTGGACACAATCTGGAATGGCAAAATTAAGAATAGAATATATCATTTTATAGATCTGCTGTAAGTGTCTCACTTATGCAACACACAGATGCTGGTTGCTGTGAAATCAGAAAGCTTAGCGCCTTGGTTTAAGGCAGAAATGAGCTTTTTCAGTTAAAATCTTACTAATACAAACACACTTATACAGTCAAACAATCTCCAGTTTTCAACTTACGCGCTTATTTTTGGTCATCTCATCGAAAATCTTTTCAATTTTTTCAATTTTCTCATCCGCAAGGGGCAACATTGTGGGCTGCTTATTGTTTGTAGTATTACTACCACCGGCTGGAGCCGCCTCCCCTTCCTTTTTACCCCCCTCACCGGCCACAGGCTTAGGTGGATATGCCATAGGTTTGGGTATGGGCGTGTCGCTGAGCACAATATTTATCAGGCAATACTCCATGAGTGCCATAAACACAAACACCGTGCAGACCGACATGAATGCATCCACAGCTTTCAAATAGGAGACGGGTGGCAACGACGACTGCGATTTTGCGTGCTGCGTGGAGAGCGTGAGCAACGATGTGACTCCTAGTGTGACACGCGCCGGCGCCGCCTCCGGTTTGATCCAGAAGGAGACCCACGACATGATCACAATCATGCATGTGGGTATATAGGTATTGAATACATAGTAGACCAGGCGTCGTTTTAGCGTAAAAACCACCTCCAAGCAGGTGAAGTTCCCAGTCGAATAGACCTGTGTACAATCCGCGGTCTCATTGCGTATCAGCGCCACCTGCGGCAACTCAATGTTCTCATCCACCACCAACGGCGTGGTGGGATCCCATTGAAAGATTAAATCATCTGTGGTATGCGATACTGGTAAAGATAATAAACAGATTGAGTGAAAAACAAATGCCTTGCAAATCATTTTTATGAACGGTTTAGGAATCAATTGCTATAAAGAGGATAATTTGGTATAGAATATTGACAATTGTTTAAATCTTCACTTTTCTTTCCTTTCTCACTATTCTTTCTTGTAAAAGTATTTAATTTCGCAAAATCAAATTTCCCTATGAAATTCGCTGCGAATTTCCCTTTTATCGGAACCGTTTTTTAAAATGTAAAACATAGTTTTTTAAATTAGATATTAATTAGAAGTGTAAAACTTAGTTTTTTTCTCACATTCCATTACAATTTAATTTTTCACCAGCACCGGTGAATCCAATCCGGTAAATTATTAATGTGAGAACATCAGCAATAGGTGGAAATTCACTTACATGAACTTTTACGTGTTAATAAAAAAGGAAATACTTATTTAATATTAGACTAGCTTCAAACTCACAGCTCTCCATTTGCAGCTTGCACTCCTGTGTATCATGTGGATAGATGGCAAAGTTCATAATGCAGGATAGCTTTAGCGTTAGCTTCACCATATAGAGTATGGTCTTGTCCTTGTAGAGCCACATATAGTGGTTGGGTATTGTCATGGTTTGAAATGTAACCGATTTCGCGTTCTTAAAGAAGGAATCCGGTCTCCACATATTTTTGAGCCAATCCACCTCGAGCAGTCGATACTCCTGCGTCATGTTCTCGGGCAGACGCAGACGATGATCCTTCCACGTCTGTGCAAAGAACACATCCGCCACATAGGTCATGGAGTTCTCATCAATGGAATCGAGACCCATGACTGTGACATGAAAATAGACAATCGTAGGCTGACCCTCCTTCTTGGGTGGACGCATTTTGTCATAGCGTTTGATGTCCTCAGGTAAAATATCGGTTATAGCCAGACTTTGTCTAAAGTTAAACGAGTTTCAGATTGACTCCTTCAAATGGGCGTGTTTTCGTATACTCACTGAAATTCACCCTTGGCAAAGTGTTTCAGGCAAATGCAGCAAATGACGAGCAGAATTATTTGCGCGACCATGGCTGTAAATTGTATCGCTCTCTGCAACGAGTACAGCAGGTGACAAAGGATATCGTGAGTATTTAAATAGTTTCAATGGCCCTGACATAACCTTTGCGGCAGATCAAAGCAAAACTCTCGAACAGTGTCTCTGGCATTGAAAATGCATCGAGTGGGTTTCTTCTTAACTGGCGCACGAAAATAGCGACAATTATGATGCTTAACGGTGTAAATAAAATGTGAACTAAAGGACAATGGCGGGGACAGTTAGTGCACTTCCTGCACAATAGCCTCGGCATTGGCAACCCTGTCAGCCCAACTACCTGCCTCTCGTTCTCTCTTCCCCTCTCTCTCTCTCTCTCTCTCTCTCTCTGAAACTCTGCCTCGCGCTGTCTACACGTGGGGGCCACAATACCGTCTTAATTCACAATTAAAGCCACTCGAAGCGAGCGCGTGGGCGGTTTGTGGCTTGTGGTTAGCGGTTGGGGGGCGAGGGCGGCTCACGGGGCGCTGCCGCTTTAAGTGGCCCATGCGCCTTTTGTGCGCTGCCGATGCCGCACAGAATCTGCCCCATTGAGCGCCACACGGCGGCGGCTTCAAGGCAGCCAATGCAACGGACGCATTTGACAAGGACAATGCATATGGTAAATTAAGGTGGGTAGATTGTGCTCGTCTACAAGACGCCATGGTTTACGAACTGGGGAATTGGTATTCCTCATGCGTAATTAGGACAACATGCTCGATTTACCTCTATTATTAATTAAATTGTGCCTGACATAAAAAAAGATCCCGATTAATAAATAGACTTTTAAGCAGTAAAAAATTTAATTAGGAAAAATAATTGAACTATTTTCTTTGATATCTATTTATGATTCAATTTCACACAAAAACTACGATTAGGAGAGAAAAACTGTAGCCGAAAAGGAAATTAATTGATTAATATGAGATATATATTTATACAAACACATATGAAATATATATTTATATTAAGTTTTAATTTAAAGTTTATTTCTTAGGGCAAGCCTTGACGAACTTTCCGGAGGCTAAACTGATTTTCTTATAATTGATTTAATGCATCGTTACAAGAAGCATATTTATCAAGAGACAACATGATTTACAAAAATAATAATAATAAACTATTTTAAAAATCCAAAAACAATCTTTGAAAAAAACAAAATTTGGGAATTACGATAAAATCTTTGAACAATAATATTAATAGAAATATAAGGAAATGATTTAAAAAAAAATACTAAACAGGCGTTGATAGGTTGAAATTACGGCTCTGAGGTTCTCAATTTTTTTGTGTTTAATAAAAATGTTTTAACATGAAATCCTGCCAGTCGAAACTCAGTCTATAAACATATAATTTCTTATGCTTTTGATATCTTGAATACTTCTCATTTTTTAAAGTATTTTACTTTTTGTGTGGCGTTAAACTGGCTCAGATAGAAGAATTGATGCGTTTCACAGAATTTAGAATTCTCACAATGATTATATAACATCAGCTAGACGATGCGACAGACATTTTGCCGATCATTTAGTAAAACTTCAGGAAATTTTTTTAAATTAAAATTGTTTTTTTTTTCAAGTAAAATTTTTTATATATTTTTATTTGTAATAATTTGTCAATTTGCAACACTTTAATTTTGAGTTATTTAATGCATTTGGATTCGGTTTTATGTTTCGCCGATTTGGAACGTCTTTGCAGTTCGAAGTGTCGCTGACAACTGACGGTTGGAGGCGAACACGATTTGAATTTAAAACGTTGCCAGGCGAGCAAAGCACAGAAATGTTCACCAACGAAGGCGCAGGATGCAGGATACAAGGATGCACTGACAGCAGTCTCTGGGCTGCTGTGTGTGTGTGTGTGCTATTGAGACTATATGACGCTAGGAAAGTGAAAGCCCAGAGAGAACATCATCAGCAGCAGCCAGGAAAACTAGGAAAACTCTTTAATACAGACTATTCTTGAGCCAGTAGTATACAATATATGTGCATGTATGTGTGCTGTACGTCTATATACATTTACACACATATATATCGTGCGATTGTCTGTGTGTGTTTGTCTTGCCATAGTCACTTAACATAATTTTGTCAAGTGCTTTGGCATTGCCTTTCCACATAATCTGAGCTCGTGCCTCTGTCGTCATCGTCATTGTAATGATGAGCCAGGGTCCCTCTATGCACCACCCCGCGCCCCTTACCATACCCTCTTTTAGTCAGTTTTCTCTACGTTTAGCTGCACTGCTGCCTATTGATTGCCTTTGGACACCCAAGTGAACGAAAATCACGCTCAAAAAACTGTCCCCCAACGTTATTTGAAAAATGTTGCTTTAGTTTTTCCAATCAATTGGCTTGTTAGTTGCTACGAAACAAGCTAACAACTGCTCAAGTAGCTCGCTCAGCAGCAGCAGCAACAACAACAATGATTACTTATACCCATTGCAAAGGGGTAAATAGGGTATAATGTTTTCGTGCATATTGCAAACGGTAGATGAATATATATAGCCTGCTCCGTATGAATCTCTGTGTCGACTCATTACATGTTTGATAGTACGTCCTTAGGCTTTGGTATATGCACACTTGGGTACGCCATATTAAATTACTTCAAATTTCGTAAATCGGACTATAAGCACCGAAGAAACATACAATCGTGTCTGTGTGTGAATGTGTATTTGTGTTTTGTGCCTGGATATATACATTGAAGGAATTTCGCACACTTATATCCTCAGATCGTTGCTAGAATCAGGGTATCTCTCAGTCGGGCATTGTTACTTGTTTTTATACCCTGAACCCATTTAAAATCGGTAAAAAGGTGCAAAATGCAAATGTATGTAACAGGCAGAGGGAAGCATCTCCGACCCCATAAAGTATATACATATATTCTTGATCACCATCAATAGCTGAGTCGATCAAGCCACGTCCGTCTGTATGTCTGTCCGTCTGTCCGTATGTATGAACGCAAAGATCTCAGAACCTATAAGAGCTAGAGACTTGAAATTTTAGATAAAGATCCTCCTAGTGCCTGCGCAGGTCGAGTTTGTTTCCGATAATCGATAACTTACTTCGTTTCCAAGCAATCGATAAAAATCGATATTGACATCCGGTTTTTTAGCAATTTTGGTAAATAATAAGAGCTAGAGTCACCATTTATACCTATCGCCACCTCCCCGCTTACACCGCAGAGCTATAAATCAAGTTAATAGCCCAACTTATATTGCCAACTAATGTAAACCACAAATTTAATGTAATTGACTTCTTGAGAATACACAAATATTCTAGGGTACAATAAGATATACTGTAAAAAATTCATTAAGATCGGTTAAGAAAAAACCAAAGATATATGTAACTGCGCAATTGGATGGCACAGCTAGCGGAAACATCAAGAATTTGTGTATACATGTACACACACACATTCATGCGCGTCTGCTTCGCATTCTATCGCATTCTAACAGCATTGATATTGCGACATTTTTCTGTAATGCTATTTTAAGTTTTTTTTTCTCAAAAGTACTTAATTTTTGGTGTGGATGTTAAGTAGAGGCATAGCAAGTGTTGCGGTCTGTCGGGAGTTCGAGCCCCACCTGGGAAACCTTTTTTTTTTGCTGCTTTGTCTGTTGAGTAGAGTCGTCAGCAAGTAATACGATCAGTTGCGAGTTCGAACCCTGCCAAGGGAACATTTTTTTTTTAAATTTATCTTTATTACTTCAAATGAGCACGTTGCGCAAACTGGTGTTGGAATAAGAAGGTTCAGAGTATTCCCTAGTCGGGAGCTCCCGACTTTAACCTTTTACTTGTTTTTGTTTGTTTTTCGTTGCAGCGGCCTGCAGTGGAGAAGGTTAAGCACAGATTCGAAATGGCTGCTAATGGAATGGTGTTTCATGATAATCCAATGAACCTGCTGACGTCAAGCCGAACATGGACATCGAAAAAATTTAAAGCAAATCAGCTTATTTATCGAATCATTGAAAATTGAACCTAGTAAGCTGCTGGGAGTGGGACTTCTCCACGATTATGAAGGTAACTGCAAATTAAATTTAAGTTAAATAATACAAAATATTGAAACATAGAGAGATGCAAATGTATACATGGAGAGGTAAAGAGAGAGAAGACTGGCAGAGAAAAGTAGAGATGTAGAGAGAGAGAGAGAGAGAGAGAGAGAGAGAGAGAGAGAGAGAGAGTTAGAGAGAAAGAGAGAGAGAGACTACGAGTGAGATTTAATGAGAAAGCAGACAGAAATGTCAATATAATAATCTATTGCAGAGAGAGAGAGATTAAGAAGATATATATATTAAATATATGTATGTATATATATTCAAAGAGAAATACAGTGACATGGGTAACGAGAGGGAAAGAGAGAGAAATATAAAGAAAGAAAGAGAAAGCTTTAGTGAGGAAGAGAAAAATCTATTTCACAAAACCAATCTGAAAGCCTTTGTTGAAAACATGAAAATCGACTGGAAAGGCAAGTAAATTAGAGAGTACCAAAATAATAAGAATAGGGAGAGAGCATCTGTAAATTGAAGGAATAAGAGCGAGAGGTAGTAAGAGGGGAAGCCAATGAGAGAAAAAGCTAGGAGAGAGAGAATAATAAGGAGGAAAATTGGAAGAAGGGATAAGTGACAGAGACGTCGCAGTAAGCGAGTGTAAAAAAATAAAAGAATGTAAAAGAAATTAAAGGTTTATAGAATATGACGTGGAGCAGCTTCTCTTTGAAGAAGTGAAAAAGTTGAAAAAATCTTGTAAAATGAAACACCAACAAGTAAGAGGTGCTAGTCGGGAGCTCCAGACTAGGGGATACCCTGAACCCTCTTTTTCCAACATGAAATGCATATACATATATATATTCTATTTTAGAAGCTATATGCCAAGTTTGGTGACTCTAGCTCTTATTATTTACCAAAATTGCCCAAAAACAGGATATCGATATCGATTTTTATTGATTGCTTGGAAACGGAGTAAGTTATCGATTATCGGTAACAAACTCGATCTGCGCAGGCACTAGGAGCACCTATATCTAAAATTTCTCTAGCTCTTATAGGTTCTGAGATCCTTGCGTTCATAAATACGGACAGACGGACAGATGGACGGACGGACAGACAGACAGACGGACATGGCAAGATCGACTCGGCTATTGGTGCTGATCAAGAATATATATACTTTATGGGGTCGGAGATGCTTCCTTCTGCCTGTTACATACATTTGGATTTTGCACAAATATACCCTTATATCCATTTTTAAGGGGTTCAGGGTATAAAAACGAGAACAATAATGATGGCATAAGATGATTGAAAAGCAAGAACGAGTGAAAGAGATAAATAGAGAGATAGACAGCCATATATTACATATAAAACTGCAACTAAATGAGTTTTCTAAAAAAAGTAATTACTTATTAAATTAAATGGCCGAGACATAGGGCTAAATCTAGTGAGTTGTCTATTAAGAGTTATAATTAAAACTCAGCCATGTCCTCACCTGTGAGGGCCAAGTTAACCTTGAAACAGCCTGCCACACACTATGTATATATATATAAATATATATATATATACTTTGTTCGATGCCACAACCTATGCATGCGGCCTTTTGACACGCCCACAGGCCGAAGCACTCAACGCCTTGCCGCAAACACTTGAGCAACACATCCTTTGGCCTTCCTTAGCCGCAACAGCAACAGCAACAACAACTCGTCATCGTTATTAAATTATCTCTGCTGCGATAATAACACACACTTAAGTTACTTGCCGTAGATTTTCCACCTCCCCCCCACTCCTATACTGTGCTATAAAAAGCCGCTGATTTTTCTATAGTTTATTCGAATGCAGTCGAGCTTGGCGCTGCTTTTGGACCTGACCCAAGTACTTGCCATACAGCCTGTAGAGAGACGCTTTTGAAATAAAGCACAGCCAGACCCCCCGCCACCTCCACCCTACCGCAAGTGGTGCTCTTAAGTTTCTGCCGATGGCAGCTGGCGGTGCGGCGCGGAGCGTGGCAGCTGCTGTAAAGGTTTTTTCTCTGTTTTTCTTTTTTTTTTTTGGCGCGCTTTTATCTTGAATAGTTTTTTACACTTGTTGTGGGGGTTTCTTCCACTTTTTTTTTGACAAGCATTACGTCATTGAAAATGAAAAATAAATTCTATGAATTTTTTGACGCTTTAGAATAACATTTGAGTTATGACTTTGGGCCAGCAAAGATTGTGCGTAAAAACTAAACGAAGGTCGTAGCAAATCAAAGGCTTTAGGACATGGCTTGTGCGCTGATATTTCAGGTAAGCTCCGAGCTGGTATTCAAACAGAAATGCAAATCTATGCAAAAATTAATAAGTCATGTCTGAACAACAAACAACCAAAATGGAAGCCCTGTGACCCACATTGCACGAATGCATGCGGAAGTTTGTTGAATGGAATGTTGCAGCAGACGCTAAAACTTGCCCCTAAACCCGCCTCCAACTCCCTGTGTGGAGGCTGCTCATTCATGAAAGCGCCAAGCGAGGCCATTGAACTGCCCTTTGAAATGGTGGTTAATAAGGGAGTTGTGCCC